CTAGATGAAGTTTTTAAGTGGTTACAAGATCAAGGTGCCAACCTCCAGGGGAAAAACAAATTTATTCATATTGGACATCACATTGTGATCTAGACTTCGTGTATTTCATTGATGATTCAGCACCCAGCACTCCAAGAAGTGGAGTGAATCAACGACCTAGGTTTTCTGATGAAATGTAATCTCAAATTTGATGAACATTGTAGACTTACGGCAGATAAAGCATTGAAGGCCGTCTATAACCTTTTTAGAGTTTCCAACTAAAGAGTAAAGGTCCTTTTGAGGAAGTGCAAGACTTATATCAGACCTTTGCTGGAGTATGGTACAGTGATATTCAGAGTGTCCCAAAAAATGTGCCCACTCTTTGATTTTCAATAACTCTCTTATAATAAAGTCTTTCAAGAAGCTTCAGGTACCATTTTGTAGGGCTAGCTTCAACTAGATCAGTACGGAGCAAATCACTCATCTCTCTTCATTACTGTAAAATTACGATAGAAACTTCAAAGAGGGTTTTGAGCCATGAAAGGCCATATTTTGCCTCAGAAAGGAAGCAAAAATAGCCTGAAAACTTTCACACTGGACTGGTTGAGTTGCTGATTCTAGAAGTGAGACTTGCAACTTCTCATGATGTTTCATTGATACGCTATGCGGGGTAAGCAGTTGCGGCAATGTTCCTAAAAAGTGCGGTTACACCGTTTAGAAAACTTCGCAATCTTGTACCTAGTTGAGTGTTGAACTCAGCGTCTACGAAAACCCTCTTACAAAAGTTTTCACACTTTTTCGAAAAATTTTGAAACTGCAGCTTTTCTTACAATGTACAATCATATACTCGAAATTTCTACCGTAATCCTACATTATTGAAAGGCTGTCGGTGATTCACTCTATACTGTAAATCTAAGTTTAAGCAAGCTCTACAAAATGTTACCTAAAGCTTCTCGAAATACTCCATTACAATAGAGTTGTTAAAAAACAAACAGTAGGAACATTTTTTGGGACACCCTGTAAAACCCGCATCTGATCAAAACCATAAATTATATGGAAGAAGTTCAAAACACGCGAAAACTGTTCATTCGTATTAAGTCTTACCTAATAGTAATACTCCTAATACTAATTTAGGTTTATCGTCTCTTGCCTATGGGAGGCGTAGAAGTGACCTTCTAATGGTCCATGCGATCTTGTTTGGAACTTGCGGCTTGGAGGTTAAAAAGCTCCCTACCAGGTGATCCAATACTTAGAAGTGATTCCAAAAGACCCAGAACCATACTCCGGGTTATGCGAAGTTTTTTTACATGACGGGTTATTTATGATATGGATAGGCTTATAAGAATTCGATCTTTTCCCGGTAAGCTATCTATGTTCAAACGTATTTCAAAAAACTACCTACCGACAATGGAAGTTGTTACTAACGCGGGTCCTAATTTTTTGCATTTTCTCGCATACATTCTTTTGGGTTTTATTGTTCATTTGTTTGTTGTCTTTGACACTGGATCTCCCCATGTAATAAACGAAATGAAATGGTACGAAACGATGGCAACCATTGCGTTTTACTTTACCCTCTCTCACTTATGGGGAAGGAGGGGGGGGGGGCAGACTGCATGGGGTACGTGGCGTATGCGACGTACTTTGAAGATATGAGGCGTACGTGCGCCAACCCATAAGGTAGTACTGAAAGTATATTTTACACAATGTCACGTATCTTCAATTCGTTAATTGCACTGACAGACATCGCTACGAAGCATTCGCAGTTTGTCGCAAGGTAAAACGCTTGACCCGTGCAAATTCGCCATAGTATAGGCCATATCACCCACCATCGGTCGTGAGGAACACGGGATGAGTCTCCGCGCGCCGCACACGTAGAAATTTGGCACTCGAGCGCAAAATTGGCCTGCATTCAGATTTGGGCGGAACAACTGACTCTGGTTCTTTTGCTGTTTCTTTGTCTATCTCTGCTTTACGCTACTACATTAGTTTTCATTCATGTACATGCGTATTTTATGTGTTGCAATGCTTCAAGATAGCGTAGCGTGAACCATCACCCAAGAAGCTTTGCGATCATGGTCAACAACAGATATTGTTGTACTTCTGAGTAATCTCACTCCAGATTCCATATGGAACCGGTGGTTCCTCACGACCGATGGTGGGTGATATGGCCATTCAAAAACTCATTCTGAGGCTAGGCCGCTTGAAAACATTGCACACGTTGCTTTAAGTGCTCAAACTTTAGTTGCTGGCATATGAAGTCGCTAATTCACGCTAAATGAGGATATGCGAATGTTTTGATCTGTCTTAACAAGTGCGCATCACGTTTTCCAGTCTTCTTATATTTCAAGAGTGAATGAGAGCATCTTTCAATGAATTTTTTGGTTTGGTATTCCGTCAAACGGCACCCAACCTCCAATGAGCCATAGTTGATGCAGGTAGGCAAAAGGACCGGAAAGACACGGCGAAAAGCTCAAACGAAGAGAAGAACAGCATGAAGGGACGACTGCGCATGCTTTTGGTGCGATCAGTCGCCAGTACAAAGTTCCTACGCATGCGAAGCGCGCAAGCAGCCTCATCCCTGGGATCCTAGCGACCGATGGTGGATGATACAGCCTATATATTGCCCCGTAATTCGCCATTCGTGCTCTCGCAAAATCTCAGCCGCGCCGCGCATAGTACGCAACTCTAAGCAATTTGTGGGTCAAGAAGTTTACGATAAATCCTCAGGTCTTTGAAGTCCTAGCAGAATTAAAACATTAGGTCAGGGAAGTGATGCGGCTCAAGCGGAACCAAAACTTCCGTGGAAGTCGATTAAGACGAAGCCACGAAAAAGTTGACGAGCTACAAAATCTTTTTTTGCTTGCGCAGACAGCAAAAGCTCTTAGTTATTGTACTACGTGCACAAATATGGCTATGTTTTTGCGCAGTCTGGAACCTTTTCCAGGATCTACAAGAAGAAACTGTGTTTGCTTAGCGCGGTCCTGTACTCGATGGTTTTACTCCAAACAAATTCCAGAAACACTGATTATAAGAAGTAGTGTCAGGTTGCAAACTTGAAGCAGAAGAGTCTACAAAAGTTGTATTGCAGTGCGCACACACAATGTCAACACGGTTTCGGGAACAGTACCCTCTTCTTTCTGTAAATACGGGATTCCTTATACCAAATAACGTCAGTGCTCACATATCATCACCCAATGTTATTTTGTACCGATACTCTTAATGCCAAGTGCTTATTGGTACCCGTTTACGCATCGCACGAGAGGACAGAGGTTGATCAAAAACATGAGAGATCGTGAAAAACGATGCTAGGAGCACTTTTTCAAAAACAGTTCTATCAAAGTAAAAGACATTCCATGATATCAGCGATCTACTAGCGATAATCTCATAAGTGATCAGCATGTTTTTCTCTTCTGTGTGGCGCTGCCTAGTCGTAAGGTTACGCTTACGTTCTTACTAGGAATCTACGTAAATAGCACCAGGGCTTGTGTTTAAAGTATGTTCTATACACTAATTTTTGTGAGTGGAGTTACTGCGCTAAATTTTGCTATCTTATAAGCCACGGAGGAGATCACCTTAGACAACTCTGGCTGCGATTCATTGTGTTCTTCTATCGACTTACTTGCGTTCAAGAAAATGAAAGCCAGTCGTTATAGCATCATTTACCCATGGTCTTGGAAGAAGGGCGGTAACTCATTTACATTTTAGGTGAAGAGGAAGCCGTGTTTTGAAGCGAGGCAGTTGGGATGGAAGACAAGCCTATCACAGGCGTGCTGGCTCGTTTTTAGTAGAAACTTATGTTATAAACTAATCTGAGAGCATTCTCAAGACTAAGCAGTAAGCAATTCAGTAATTTCCTCTGGCACTTTCACCACGGAGTATGTCCAATATGGTCGTGCTTGTCCTAAGAAAGCAGTGAGGCAAAACTTGGATCCGCAAATCTTATATGCGCCTTGGTATAGGCGATTCCCATGCGCATAGCGGACGTGGCCCTGCAGAAATTTGAACACGTTGAAATTAGTGAACCTCCATTCTGAAGCACTAGCTGTTGTACTCTCTAGCTGCCAAAAACTGCCACGCGCTTACGTTGGCAAACGTCGGCAAAGCTCCGCCCGCTATAGAGTGGGGAAAGGACGGTGAAAGTAATCTCCGTTCCCTCATAACTCGTATCAACAAATTACTATTGACTCCATTCAAATAAGGCGCTTTTTGAGATTGCGCACAACGCCGCTTGGAGTTGTGGAGTTGCTGAAAGAAGGTGAAATTTTCTAACAATAAGGGACAAAGCACGTTATATTGATGTTTGCTATTTCTGAGACGAATAAGTATTAACTACAGCAACCCATGCGTTATCGCACGTTGTGGCTTGGAGTTCGACCCTTTGAGAAGAGTCTGTAATACAGTCAGCTCTTTGCAGTAGTCCATATGCAAACCTATATTGTGATCAAACCTGCACATCCAACTGCTGAGAATAAGCTTAAAGGCAGTGTCCGGGCAGAAACTCGATTTCTAGAAAATCCACTTACTGGGATTATCCGCAACGCTGAATCCGAAAATCCATATCAGAAGGGCGAAAACGGCCAGAACGTTTTTCAAAGCCGCACAATTTGAAATTCGACGGTCCCCACCAAGGCAGAGACGCAGAGTCGCTGCGGGACCCTACATTTTGACTGTGGCGGCATGCGTACTCTGCCGTATAGCAGGAAATCAGACACATCGGAGGACCCTGCCCCAAGGCTTAGGTTTCCCCACATTCCGGTCGTTTTTCTTGCTTTAGGTCGAGCGTTATGACGTCGCACTTGCGCGATTTTGTGTCTGAGGGAGCCACTCTCGCATGACACTGAAATCCCAAAACCCCCCATCTTGCCCGGACACTACCTTGAAAAGCACTCGACATCTCGTCGAAGGAAGTTACTCAACTTGTATTTGATTTTTGGACTTCGTACGTCTCTTGCCCGATGAAATACTTGTGCTCGTATAGTTGCATTCATCTTGACTTTCAAAAGCTAAACTGCAACACTTACTTTTGCCGAAGATCTTGAGCCATAGCTGTGACGCAGTCTTCTTGCTGTGGTGGTGGTGGTAAAGATTGGAAATTTAGAACATACGGTAAGTTTCCAACTTGTTGACCCTACATCGAGCTTCAAAAGTGCTTATGAGTTTCAGTGTACTGTAGTGTACTCAACCTCTTCAATCTGTTCACGATGTATGGGTAAAGCGAAAGCTTCATCAGCATAGTCAAGAAACGTTGAACTGGTTTCTGGTGGGTGAAATATTGCTATCCGCCAACCACCACGTGCTAGAGCTGTAAGTGTTGGTCCATAGTTGCCAGCATCTGAAATGTCGGAGATTTTCGACCGTATGCTCATTAGGCAAATCTCGCAAAAATATTGTCTCCTCTTCATAAACAAAGAATGTAAAAAGCTTCACTAAGTAAGTAGTAAGGGCTGGGCAGGTTGCGATGGGTGGCACAATGGCAGGGACGAGAGATTGGTCAAAACTTTAGTTACAATGATCAGTAGTTCCTATGACCTCTCCCTTCAAATTTTTTATCACGACTATAAGAGAACTGTTATTAGTTTGCACAGCAAAGTCATTTTTTGTTCCTGCTATGAAACCTTGACTAAAGAGCAAATGGAACAACCGGCTTATCCTATTCTCTTATTCTTTTGATGTACCTAACTTTATTTCAGTATCGAACAAGTAGCTATCTTTTCAAAGGCAGTGGCTCGGCAAATCCTCAACCTGGAATTTTTCGCTTACTAAGGTAATTCGACACTCAGAATCCGAAAATCCACCTTGCAGAGCGCAAAAATGGAGAAAACCAGTATTTTTCAAGACCCCTCATTTTAAATCTGGACGAGTGGAGCGATTCCGGTCATGGTTAGAGACGCAGAGTCATTGCAGGACCCCCATGATTATAACATTGCAACATGCCTCCTCTGACGGCGAGAGGAGAATCGCAAGCTCGTCCAAGTGCGTGTAAGAATGGCTTGCGCGTACGGGTTTAGGGACAGTTTTCCAGACAAGGGCAGCATGCCGTGCGCTCGGACTTACTCACTTCTCATGTTTGGGGTGCAACAACCTTCCATATCAAAATTTCGACATGTTCAATTTTGCTGGACCACTGCCTTTGAAAGAACTTCTCAAGTTGAACTTATAACCGCCCACCTTCCCACGTTTGAAGGTGGCAGAGAGGCTAGAACAGCCGGAAGACATCCAGACAAATGCAACGTTTAGCCCAACCCTGCTATTAAGTCAAAGGTAGATATGCTGTTAGTCAAACTGAGAGAAATAGTGTGCAAAAATGGAAAATCGGATAAAACTGAATTGCTCATGCGTGACTGATGGGACGCCTAGGCTCTTCTTTTGCAACTGAGAAACCACAAAACAGCTGCATAATGGTGTGGCCAAAAAAGGAGAGAATCGACGAACGCTGATTTTGGCTAAACAAGGAATGAGGTTTTCTTTTTTGCAGAGTTTGCTTGAATTTTTATTTCGAAAATCTGCCTAGGACGAGAATTCATTCAATTATTTTCTTCTATGTCTCAACCATTTCAAACTTCATAAAATTATTGCCCTAGTTTTGTTTTATCCATTCTTTGCTAGGCGAAATCCGTGATGGCGGTCATCATCGATTTTGCTGTAGTGGCCGATATAAAAGACTGATTGACGATGCAGCAAAAATCTGCCACTAGACGGTCTCGAATCCTGGCGGGGCTGGCTGAATCGCAATTTCCTACCCGTTTGACCTTACTCAAGCAGTGTGGTTTTTTTGAGATGAGAATGTCCACAATTTCAATGTCTAGAAAGCGATTCGCATTCAGATAACTTACTGCAAGTCAGACCGAGACGCCGTATGTTCCTAGCCCCTACCTGGGCGAGTTGCTATGAAGGAGGTTTACTACAGGCCGGTTGAACTAACCAACTGTGACATGTTGTTAACGTGATGTGTGTTAAATCAGTCCCCTAGATAGTTCATCTTGAGTTCAAACTAGAGTCGCCAGTCGGAAATAGATAATGACAGATTCTCATGTTTCACGATCATCCTGCTTTCCAACGTAGCTGATGCAGGCGTACTATCAGAGCCCGGCATGAGTCCGTTTCTAGGCTTTCTAAAAACGAAATCCCTCCTGACTTTCGCAAAATTTTACAAAGCCTTTGACCCTTGTCGGAAACGTCGACTAAGAACCCTTAACCTGACTTGTGTTTTTTCGGACCCACGAAAACAATATCCCCTTTACCTTTTCTCTCAAAAAAAAAAAACCAGCCAGCTTCGAGGCGATTTGTGCCGATCCCTGCAGCATACTATAGAATTTTAAATTCCCATTTCCCAACTGTTCTAACGTCTAACGTCGCCTATCGTCGCATGTGTGCATGTATCTAGTTCTTGTCACGAAAATCTTAGAGCGGCATAGCTTTCAATTGACAACTCTGCTTGAAGGCACCTCCATTCCGATTAAGGGAGATGAGATTTCGAGGTTATACGATAGCAGGGCCCTTAACTAAACGCTCTCCTAAGTCTCGCAAAAGATGAATTATAAAGCGAATCATTGTTCCAGAAGGTAGAAGCAGCCACGGTGGCTTTGCCCATCAACGTGGAAGATCTAAAGACAGTCCAGAATTCCTCAGACCAATGCCGAAATCTGGTAATTGTAATGAAGGGCAGATTTACGACAATTTAATACGCGTTAAAGCTTAAGTTTGATTCGGTTACCTTTGGACACATAGGTCGATAAACGGACAGTGTGGCCGCTTCTACCTCATAAAGCGGTTTTCTCGCTTTAGGATGGAATTCTAAATCATCTTGTGCAGCGAGACTTGGTTAGTTAGGAGCCCCTATCATAAGCCATCAAACTCTCACAGTCCTCAAATTGGTAAACGTTGCCTTCAACATGCGTCATAAGTGTAGTCCAGCATGCACAGAGCGTTGACAGGATACGCATAAAAGTATTATTGACTCGTCTTTCATCAAACTGACCCCAAAAGGCTCACACAGCTTTTGGCCTTATGGTCAGTTTAGTGAAAAATGGGTCAGTGGTACTTTTCTGTGGAGTTATGGACTTTGTCGGCAAAGTAGTAGGAATCTACTTTTACAGCGAGGGTGCCGAAAAAGAGCGGCTGCCTAGATTGCCGATTTCTCAAGGTATTGCCTAAGAGGTTGAAAAGATTTTTGCTCAGAGATGTTGCTCACTGTGATCACCCTTATGACAGAAATCAAGGCATAATGTACTATATTCGCATTCGCTCTTCTAGAAAACGTTCCTCTCAAAGACCGATCTCACATAGAAGAGTGTTTGGAATGATTATTTGATTATACATCTGTGATGGTTAGAATTGCATTGGTAGTTGCAAAGCCATCAATATGCGAGCACGAGGAAGTCGTATGGATAGAATTAGTGGGAGCCTCTGAAAGCAAAGGTGACGCATTGACTCTCGTAATAACTTGATAGTGTAGCTACTCCGTCAAATTCTTTACCTTTTACATTTATTAAACCTGATTCGAATTTTGGGGATACGTATTTCTAAATGCGTTTCATCTAACATTCCCTCCTTGTTTCCATGCGAGATTTGAAAACGGCTATCTACATCATTGAAGATTTGCTTTATTTTTTAGCCCAAAGTAAGCGCAACATTCCAAGTGAGCAGCTGGAGCCGCGCGTCCGCACCGCCACTGGCTCAGCGAGATAGATTGCAATAAAGAGACGCAGACTGCAAAGCGGCGCGAATCGCTGTGAAGCGGACTCCCGCCAGTCCATTTTCCGCCTAAACTGAGTCGAAACTCACTATACATACCAGAAACAAGCGCAATTAATCCAGGACCCCCATTTATGGTGGATGCATGCCAGAGCATCCGTTGACATAACGCCTCTTCAATCGATCCTTCCGTCGACAGTGACATATGAGCTATCTCACCATGCTGAGTTGGAGATCAAAAGCTTCGCTTCAGAGACTTTTACGGGACTACCTGGAAGTGTTCTGCATAATCCGTAATATCCTTAGGCGTCGCTCGAACGTCGCAACAGAAGTAAAATTTATCAAACTCGGCGGATAATTTAATTACTACCTAAAGTGATTCATAGATTGCTAGGAAAAGGAAGTGGGGACTCACATGTTTGATTAAGCTTTCTATCTTTTCCTGTGATATCGGTACCGAATGGTAGTTGTAGTACACTAGAAGTGGTCCTTCATCGCCCATTACTTTATCCTGAAGCTCACAACATGTGGGCGCGTTGCAGAATTGGGATCAAGTTTACGTTGACGTTTGTAATCTTTGTCTCCAATGGAAGAAACTGATGTCTTCTTGCTGCGACCGGCTGCAACCGAAGAACGAGTGGCACAAAATGCTACTGGGAAACAGGGTTGAAATAGGGATTGATAGGAAATGATAAATACTTAGCAAGGAACCAGAGAGTTTGATTGCTAACGAGTTTGAGCCGGTCAGAACTGCTGCATGTACATTGCTAAAACCATTGTTCCATGTCGTTTTCAGACGTAGACGATTACCCTATTTTTCGGAGCATAAGGCGCATTTTTGGGCGCCGCGCGCGAGCAGTTTTGCGACGACGCGGGCGATGTGCGACGTTGCAAGGACAAAGGCACTAACTTTTCGTAACAGTTTTGTGCATTCGTTCTCTGTTAGAACGCTTGTGATCATGTTGTTTGGAAAATTAGTCTGCTCTGTCCTCATATTCCGCTAAACAAAAATTTCACACTAAAACACCCGTACTCATACCTTCGATAGTCTAGAGACAGAGCGCCAAAAGTGAAGGTTGTTTGAACATCTGACCTCATAAATAGTGAAGGTTGTTTAAAGAAGACCAGAGAAGAGAAAATGACGTAAAACAGATATGAAAAACAAAATAAACTGCTTAAAACCGGATAAAAACGCTGCAATGAGGCTTGAAATTTTTCATTTGGCGGCTTTTCAATGTGCAAGTTTTCGCTCCAGGACCAGCAATTCGCAACACGGGGTTTTGATTTTTGATGCGTCCTTCAAACTTTTACCCCTGCATTGACGTTCCTGTTTCCTGGGACGTTGTCTAGATTGCTGCGCTTATTGTTCTGAGCAATAATCGCCCAAACTGGAAAAAAATCGATGCAAAGGCACTGAAACAGAACAAGGTAAAGAAAAACGCGCTTTTTACGATTTTTTGCAAAAATTCAACCATAATCGAAAGGGCTGAGTAGTTGTCTACATTATGAACAGAAGCAAGATCTATAGAATGCACGAAGAAACTGCGTGAAAAGTGTTAAAATAGGAGAAAAACAAGAGATTTTCGAAAACAAGGTTTTTACCGGATTTCTCGTTCAAATCAAAAAATATGGTTTTGGGACGTTGTCAGGGTGAATGTAGAGGTCAAGAGCTTCAATTTGACATATAGATTGCTGAAATTGGGTTTGAAACAACGAAGAAAAGGGTACCAGAGCCAAATGCCCCGCGCCCCGCGTTTGGGGTGGCGAGGTAGCGCGCAGCGCGCGGAGACGCAGACGAGCAGCGGAGAAAGACCAGAGCCGACGGGGCATTTGGCTCTGGTCGTAGATCTCCGCGGGGTCTCAACGAAACCTTGCAACATTATACATCATTCTGATCGTCATGACACGACGAGGAGAACTGATAACGTCCCAAGCTTTAAAAATCACTCACTAACAAGATAGACCAGCGTTTTCGTGCGCGATTCTCTGCGCGAGAATTAAGCGCAGTTTCTCCTTTTTATTCGACTCCAATAGCTTTCCTAAACTTCTGAAACTCTATTTTTGCCAAAGGAGAGGTTAACTGAGAAATTCTGTCCTGAGTTCTGGCGAAAACTCCACAGAAACCTTCTTTTTAGCGTAAAAACGGCTACGAAAACGCAAATTCCCGGTTTTGCTAAAAGCTAAAAATATTGTTTCCTATATTTGCTTCATTAACAGACGTTCCGATATAGTCAGGATAACAACATCCAGGGCGAAGCCCCGGATGACTTCTGTTTTTTTTTTCAGGTGAAAATTGCGTCCCGTCATAGCCCTCAAAGTGAAGGTTACCAGAGACGTGGCTCTATGTATCGAGGATATGCCCGTACTGTTATCATTATAAACTCATCCGCTATCTGGCACTGAGTTCGTTTATGTCTACATGTTGCCAAGTTTTCGCTTAACTTTTCCAAAAATTGAAAGCACTGACATCCTGACTCTGAAGCGCCCATTTAGCAGTTTCCAGGTAAAAGTATAGATAAGTAGACCGTTAAAGACAGCTCAACCAAGCCCAAACCTAGGGCGCAACTTTCGCGTCAACGTTCTCGCGGCAGGTGCGCCTTATATATAGGTGAGCCTTGTACTCCGGAAATTAGGGTATTTAAGTGTTTTAGGCCCTTATTCACTTCAGGGATGTTGGGGTTGAAATCAGGTTCCGCTATCAATCTGCTAAATTTATTCGAAATGCTTCTTTTGCCCACTTTTCCCGTTCCTAGGTTTTTCGTGGCAACCTTCTAAAAACTAAATATATTTCCTGTGCGAAAAGAAATGGTCCGACTTTGTTGCCGAAACGATATCAAGCTTGCTCACATGGTAAGTTTTTGTTCGAAGGACTTCCTGGCCATTGCAAGAGCTAAGTCTGAAGTTTGATACGCTCATAATATGTTTTCCTCATACTTAACTAGGTAATACGCTTCCTTTTCCGTCTCTAAATATCATAACGTCTGCTTTGAAAAGTAGAGATTCAGTGGAAGATTTTCGTTTTGAAGACCTGTACTCGCAGTTGATTGCGATTGCACTGGCTGCTTGCTACAGGGACATAGTCTTCCGATAGTAATCTTGCAGAATGCTCTAACAATGAAATGTTCTAAGCTTACGACCTATGACTGATACAAGGCGAATTGTATTGTTCCACATGAAGAGGCTACCACGTGCACCAGAACTTCACAATAACTCAGGGGATCACCGAACACCAAGTACTTTGACATTTCCAGACTATATTGGTATCTTTACCGTCGTTGGAAGTTATAAGGCTTGCTTAACCCACGGGCATGTTTCCGCTTTGTTTACACGGTCTTAGCATTGGGCTCCACTACTGTGCATTTTTGGGAATTCTTGCACCGAAAAGAACGTGAGCTCGGGTGCCCCGTAAATCGATTACAACTCACGGGGTTTTTCTGTGACTCTTCGCACTCTTTTTCGTCAATTGGATTTACGATCTATCTCCATTGGTTTAACTTATTAGCTACCTTTGACTTACGGGCAACACATTGAACTAACCATGGGATTTGATCGATCGATCTTCTGACTGTTCAACTTGAACTCAAAATAGGGAGTGGGCGGCAGCAAGTGTAGCTAAAAATGTTTCCGAGTTGGATCAGCTTACTTAAAGGCAGCGTCCAAGCAGAATATGACTTCTACTTTTTTGCCTTATCCAGGTCTTTTGATGGCGCTGATTCCAAATGTAGCACTCAAAATGCGTGACTTCCTCAGAAACCCTACTTAAGACAATTTTGTAAGAGCCGCAGACGAGTGCTCCTAATGCTATTCTTGTCGAGAGCAAGCATTAACACTATGTGTTTGATTGTGTCTGCCACTTGAAAACAAGTCAAGAGCAGGGGAATGTTCGTACAAGGAGGCGGGCCTGCGAGGGAGTGGGCGTGGTTTTCGAGGCTCGGCGTTTTTTACGCCAATCTTCTCCTTTTACAGAAGGTGTTTGAGAGTTGGATTTGCGCGACAGTTTTAGATCAAGGTACTAATACTCGGTTATGATAGTATCCGAAAATGTCCAGGTCTGCCTGAACGCTGCCTTCAAGCGTTTAAAGAGTCTGTGTCTCATCAAACATTAAATGCCTCCCGGCAGCGCTTTGCGGAATATTGCTGTGATGGGGTTCCTGGTCATTTCACTGACTCCCAGGGCTAGTTCGGCTGGTTGATGTTCCTCTATGCCGAAAAAAAAATAGCCCTTGTACCGGCGCGCGCAACGCCAGTCGTCGCGCTCGGACGACTTCGCTTACCGTTCGGCGCGAAACCCCACGACCGCTCTCCCGCATTGTGCATGCTATTCAAAGCAAAAATTTATGCGCACAGGGCCTTCGTGCCAAAGCCTCCCAACTTTCCATTGCAATTCTCGTCCGAGCTGCCTTTTGGAAATTAGGTAAACGCCCGAAGAAGGTCTTTTCACCTCACCCATTTCAAAGCTCAAATTTGCAATTTACAGGTCGAAAAGGCCCAAAACATGCAAAAAGATGGTAATGCAAGATCTGGCGAGACGGGATCTGACTCTAAGGCACAGGTTTCAGGTTTACAGTTTCAAAGGATTCCTTTACTTGTTTAGATTCACGCATTATGGTAGAGAATTATCGTTAGGCCACTCCAGGCCTTCAGATATTTCTCAAGCTTTTGCCTGAACTTGGAAGAGAATGTGCTTAAGATGATGCGCTTTATGGAATATTTATGGGAACTGTTGTCGACATACGAAAATCAAAGAAATCATAACTTTGAATAATTTATTGCAGTCTCGATGTTAGAACCGTCTCGATGTCAGTTTAATCTCTTACGTAACAGCTCGCAAATAAAGTTTTGGAGTCAAACAAGGACTTTGACCTTGCCTGTATCAGCTACATGTGACTTATTCAGACCTTCCTTCAGAATTTCTAGTCAGCGAATTCATAAAGCATTGTGAAATCGCGTAATTACATATCAAATCAGCCCTAACGAGCGTTGTCAACGAGCGCTTAGTTTCTCAGCATACAACTACGGCCAAACATTACGAGGAAGCCATTTCCGTTGCTACGGTAACAGAGTACAAACGTTATTTTGAATGAAGTTTGCAGTGACGGTGATCATTAAATTAGAGCCGTTTGACTATTTTGAGTTGTAGAGTGGAGGATAGTTCTGCCGAGGAAATCTATTTTTTTTTTCAAGGTAAAAATTGGCATTTACTTGCTTTGGAACATTCTGAAAGGAGCAAGTGAATTAGATTAAGGGGAAAGCACCAGTAACTCGTTCGAAAACCATCACTAGGTTTTGATTTTCGAAAATTTTGTTCTCTTCCACGTGGGGTTAATGCATTCAGATATCAAAAATTACACAAAACATTGGAAAATTACATAAACAGCCTGACATAATCGACCAGAAGATTTAGGGAAGACATACTGCTGATTTTTTGAAGTTTTTTGATACCAAAAACAAACAAGAATGCAATCCCACTGACTAGTTGGGCATCAATACATACTTGTGGAAAACACTTCTGGTAATTTTTGAGCATGAAAATCCATATTCAAAGTTTGACTAATCAGGCCACTTACTGTGGAAAAAAACCATTTTTAGATCTGAAAAAATTTTTTGTCATTCATTGGTAAATTAGTAAACGTTGTTTGTAGAGTATTTCATATAATGTGCCTGCTTGAGAATGATTTTGTACATGAAAGCCACCTGTAAAATTGGGAAAACTTTTTTTGAAATCTGACTCTCATTTGACGGAAAATAATGATAGTTGTCCAGGACTCCAAAACCAATGCACCTTCAAAACTTTGCCACTAATTTTTGAACTTTTATAGGGAGTAATGTTATGTAGCTTGCAGAGCTGACTTTTTTGTTAGAACTCAGCCTTTCCAAGCACCATAATCTGGTTGACTCACTATCAGCAACCATAGCAACCGATCCTTCGCAAACTGTGCTTCTAGCAAATGATTGCGTAGATCTATAAAAGGAAACTTGCACTTTCACTGCACCTAAATGTGCCATATCTAGAACAATCCGAGTAATTATTCATTCAGCATTTCAGGCGTTTCATGTCCGCAAAGTGTTGCTGCGCTAATCTTGTCCTGATTTATGGTCAAGGATGAAGAATTGATCAGTTTCTACATCAAAGTCTTGGCAATAACAGAACAATGTACTATTTAAACAAGCACATTCTTTATTAAGTGTCTAGACAAATGCTTAAGAATCCAGCACTTTTTCTAAAGTCATAACCGCTGGTACTTAAAGCTTTTTTCCCTACAGGATCAAGATCTGTCCTGGTGCTGGTGCTGTTGTATTCTTAAAATCATTTTTCGTGGATCAGTCTTTACAAGACTACTACCTTTAGCTTGTTCAAGAAATTAATATATGGGCTTCGAGAGTAATTTCTCTAAGTGTGGAGATTAAAGGGTTGTGTAAGAGAATTTTGATTACTTCTGCGAGTGTCCCAAAACGTAAGCATACACTGTTTGATCGTCAATATCTCTTTTCTTAAAAATTCTTCTGCTTACCTCTAGGTATAGAGCTGGCTTCAACATAAATCTACAGTCAAAGCGAATCACCGATTTTTTTTGTGTGAGATCACGGTAGGGACTTTCATTATACAACGTTAATGTAAAAAATGGCTTCAGCAAAATATTATCGAAAAGCGCTAGAAATTTGTGTAGTAAGGTTTCACGCGTGTTGATTTCAACACATTATTTTTTTCCAAGCTTTTCCTACCCCAACTGTGTGATCACATTTTTGAGGAAACTCAAAAAAAGGTTTTTACCGTATACCTCGCATAACTCATGAACGAAGCATTGCAGTTGAGTCCAGATTTCAAAGTTAAACTTAGCGGCTCTGAATAGCCTAGTGTTAAAGCTTTAGCCATTCTTTCTGAGGATTTATGTGGCCCTTAACAGCACAGAACCTTCATAAAGTTTTACAGTAATTCTACAGTAATGAAGAGCGATCGGCGACTTGCTCCACAAAGTAAATCCAAATTTAAGCCAGCTCTACAAAATAGTATTTGAAGAAAGGCAAAAGACTTTTTTATAGGAGAGATATTAACGATCAAACAGTGTGTACATAGCATGTACGACTCTCGATAAATCTCGGCATAGTTTATATTTGATTGTTTTTTTATAGTGTATACATAGTTTTGAAATAGTATTCTTTTGGAGGTAAAAGTGCGGGTATAATCTTAGAAAAGTCAATGATATTTTCTCTTGTAGTGGCACTGTGACTGCGATAATATTGAGAGTGGAAGAATGGTACAACTGTTTGAAATTATCTATCCTACTTACAAAATCATTTCTCATCAAAATGATAACACACTTTTAAGGTTGCTTCTCAACATGTTCAATGGATGTCGGGTTTTGAGAAAAGAAACCACCCTAGAGTTCCGATGGGGATTCCTGAGGTTTGTTATGGTCCCTATAGACTAATGCTTTGATTCATCCACTCTGGCGATTGCACCAAATTGATTTGATTGTAACAATTAGCTGACGAGCTCTGGTCGCGTACTACATCCTCATTGGGAATTAAGTCACCCACTACCTCCTCCCCTCCTTTCTTCTGCTTCACCTTGGCTCGATCGCAGTGTATTTTCCACCTGTTCTCACACTCTAATCAAAACTCAATCATACGGTGGCAACGGTTGCCGTAACAACGAGACCACGCCCACTGAGGAGCTTTTCCTACCTCGACTTCTCTTACGGTAACACTCTCTATGTGAGAATAATCACGTGTCGAATCCCTACTTGGCTCCGCCCCTCCGGGCAACTTTATTTCTGCTCGTTGCGCAACATTAATAATCTAGCCGCTTTTTTCTCAGTCTCAGCGGGGTTCGCTCTTCTGGCAATTCGCCAACTTTTTGCCAACCATCGTTGCCGTACAAATTCATTTCACTTTTGTTTGGGGTTCCTGCTTCTGTGCTATAGAATTTGATTTCAGCATAAAAACACAATGTCAGCGTTCTCATTGGCTATTCTCCTCGCTCTTCTTCCCTCATTGACCTCCTCCCTAAAATGCCATCAAGTCAACACTGGTAATCTATCAAATCCACCGGATACTCAAGCTACGGTAAGTACACTTACAAATTTCAATTTTTCAGTCCTCGTTTGCATCATGAAGTCTCCAGAAAAGCTTAAAAGCAGTGTTCATACAAATCTAAGAGTTCATTTGTTCTTATGTGAATGATCAAGGAGTCCTAATCGCACCATTGCTGTAGAAGCATTCCATGTTCCGTGCGATTAATTCGCGGCCAAGAAACTCTTCTCGCCCGATACCGTATCTTTGCACGAGCTAGCGTCCTCGGGTACTATACTGGACGATTTTGCATTCTAATTTTGCCATGAATAAATTACATTTGAGACCCTCTAGTCAGCATGTCTAGACACTTGCTTTGTTTGAATACTGCCTTTCACTTGCTCAATGCCAAAAAGCTCATTTTTTCGAAATTTTTCAGGAATGCGTTGCTGGAAGTTTGGCATGCACTAAATTAGTTGACTATACGACAAAGACCTTTACCAAGCAATGCCAGCAATTCAACTGCACGGTGAGTTTTGAGCTAGTTACGAAATAATGTACAACTCTCCTAGCTTTAAGACGTGTTCCATTGCAAAGAGAAGTTGAGAGGCCCGCTCTCATTTTCGAGCTGAATAATAAGTAATTTCCAAAGAGGTCCCCAGAAAATTTCGACTGTGAATTTGTAAAGCACAATTTCAAGACCTTAGGGGAGAATTGGAGTTTAATACTTCTGAAATATTGTTTGGTGCCATTTGGGTACATATCTCCTTTTTACTAATAATAAACCCAAAAGATTGGAAAAGTTTGAGTATTGGTGTTTAGCTTATACCGGTAACGCTGTAGCCTTGCGGCGACGTCACTTGCGAACGGGTCTAATTATGGACCAAGTTTGAAACTGTAAACAATCTTACAGGTTTTAAGTGGAGCGCTTGTTATTCGTCTTTCTCGCTCAAAAATCACAAGTAGCAACTCAACCCTGCAAGTAATCTACCTGGTTACCGTAACCACATCCAGTCATCATTGGCTTCCATAGTAACGGGACATAGGAGCAGACTGGCGCGTGATCTCCGCGTGCCAATATCGAGAGATTTCAGCAAAACAGAGTGTTAGCGACATTGTAGCCTTGATTATGTTTATGTAAATACGATGATCAGAGATTACTCGAAACGTCAGAAGTGCTGAAGCGCGAGGAAATTTATGGTGTGGTGTTGCCAGCTTGGTAATTTTCGATGCTACGTTGCTAAATTTCCGATAAAAGTTTTCAAAAGAGTGATGGATTTTGGTGCGCTTTTAGTTGATAGTCAACCCCGTCTTGGAAAGTAACTCGTTTAAGTAAACTCGTTTCCTCTCCTACAGTCTTTCATGGAAACTTAGCCAACCTCACCTCAAAGATAGCATGATCACAAAACCTCACAGAGATTTGAGCCTAATTTGTGGCCGAAACAAAGCTAAACTGCAGTTTTTTTCTTAGTCACTCACCAAGATATGTCTCATAGCATAAAATAGTGAATTGCTAGTAATTGTGAATGAGGCTGTAATTTCCGTAATTGACTCTACTTGGCGCACTCAATCAACATATGATTGCTCACAGGCTGTTGAAACACTGAGGTACTGGCAGACCGATAGCCGCAAGAAAGAGGGAATGTTACATTTTCTCAATGTTTAGGAATGTGTTGTGAGAATTAAACCTCGGGAAAATATCGCTAGGGCCCTCAGCACACTTGACGCGATTTTATTCGCGATGCAATTTGGCAATAGTCCAGTTGTTTATAAATCATCGTAAAGGATCCCTGAATGTACTGAAGATAGGGCATTTTAGCAACCTACGTAGGTTGTACATACTGTGCATTTGAGGTCACTCAGTACTGAATTTGAAACTGGCAAACTGCCAGATCTGTAATAATCTGTAATCAAACTGTAATCGCGTGAGGTATACCCGCGGCTTACAGGCAGATCAAGTCAGCTTCCCGATTTTTACCATAATTCCTGCTGAAGGGACATTATGTAGAATCTTGCCTGAATTACGGCATAAGAATCAGATGTTAAAATTTTGTGATCATCGTCGTAAGGGTTATTCGACGTCATTGGTTGCTCTGTTTTCGGATGAAAAGCTACTATATCAAAAGTGGACTTAAATATTCTGAAAGAAAAACGTTTTTCCAGAACTTTCTACTTTTAAAGTATTGATCATTGCAATAAATTCTTCATTCCTGTTTGGGACTCAAATCCACTAATTGGGAGGACTAGCCGTTGAATTAAATCAACTCTTCTTCTGATAGCCTGCATAACGTTGCAACTAATTCCTCGTCACCTAGTCTAAGTTTTCGCATTATTTCGAAAATTAGTGCTCACCAATTCCCTGATGGTGCTGCTAAAAGCTTTGTTCTAGATTCTTTCTAAAGTGTGTCAAGCTAGATCTACCTATGCCAATTCTTTGCGAGTGAGTAAATCTCATCATTCCGATATCATTATAGTGTGAAATATCGGACAGTGGTCATAGCAACGCATGCGCTTCATTAAGAAACCCTTGTTGTGAAACAAACTTCACCTGCAATCGGGGATACGCTCGGAGAGATGTAGAATGATCGCCATTTTGAGGGACTTGGCCAATTATCTTAACTAATGAGATGGATCGGATCAAGATCCTGAGTGGCTACCATTGTCTCTCTGAGGTGATTCGGTTGAATCGAGAAAACTAGGCACTTAGAATGGCGATGTCAATCTAGCGTATTATACCCTACATAATTGTTCAAAAATTCAAAAATTTGGACTTAAGGAATAACGAAAATCTTTCAGTCCGGATCCTTGATGAATGCTCCAGCCTCTTGTGTGAATACGTCCACGATAGGAAGAGAATCAACCAGTTGTTGCTGCTATGGAGACGGGTGAGTCAGCAGTCATATGAGACTTAAAATTATTTCAAAGAGAAAATATAAGTAGAATAACGAAGCTAATCTGATAGTCTGCAGTAGAAATTATTGTTATTTTAGTCTGCAGAAAAATTATTGCGATTTTGGCTTCATTTGTTCCTACCTTTGGAGTGTAACATCTCCTGCAGCATGCAATCATATTTTTGCCTACTTTTTGTCAATTTGATCAGTTTTTTTGCATAAAGGACAAATTTTGCTAGTACTCAAGTCTGCATTTTTGCTTCACTAACCTCGAGAAACTTCAAAATGTGGATGCTCTTGAAGAACTTAGCTTTGAAACGATTATTAATGATTTCAGATGCAACTCTGCACCATTCGGCTCATTATGGACAGCTTTTACCGCTACGGCAGTGATCGTCATCGGAAAGGCACTGTTTGTTTAAAACAACCAAATGATCTAATATTGTAGACTTCTCAACTGCCCGGTCAAAGAAATTCGCCCAAGAAATTATTTTTGAAAAGAGTATAGGCTAGAATTCCTGGTATTATGCACCTGTAAGCTTTGCACACCTTGATTTCTGAGAGACTCAAAGAAAGACATAAAAAATCAAAAAAAAATTTTTTTTTGAAGTGATCGTGTAACGCTCACAAAGTTTTATCTCAAGAAATTGTTGAAAAGAGATCTCTTTCTTTTCGTAAACCTCCAAGTTACTGTCAGTACCTTTTCTTACCTCTGCTGAGCTAAGAATGGATCTTTTTTGTGGATCTTTCTAAACTGTGGATTTCGTCTGTTTTCGGTTCAATTCAAACAACATATCGCTTGCATCGTGATCTCATTGATTTTTGAAAGTGTTGTGACCATTTTTGCAGCACTCAAACTATTCCTGTATCTTTCGCAATTTGTTATCAACGAGGGTACCCCTCAGAAATGCTTGTATCTTTATACATGTACGTTAGTGGCTGTTTTTGTGCGACATATTTTAATCTGCATTGTTTGTATGCTACAACTATTTTGTCATATCAATCCACTGTGAATGTTGAATGTTTGGATAAATGTAAATCAATAGACTGTTGCAGAGGACTTATGACTATCGTTGACTGCAATAACATTGCTTCCGGCAATGATGCGCAGCTGCTTCAGAAGGCAGGCACGGCACAAGAGTGGCAGATGTCAAAATGGAACTCATTCTAAGCGGAAAAGCAGAATCACATAAGCATCTCTCCAAAGCCAGTGGCTCACCAAAATTGAGACTACGCGGATCTCCACATAGTCCGCTAGACGGTCCCCAAAATAGGCCACTGCAACAGGTCCGACTCGATTTGACCCTTTCTACGCTGAGAAAAATGCGCTCAAAGTGTTCCGCAGAAAGCGATTTGATTCGCATGGGCTACTTCTCCGGTTTCCCCTGACGTATTCTAATACGGCCTTCCCAGCGCTCTTCTTCTCGATGTTGATGCCACTGTAGAGGAGGATAGGAGAAGGCACAACTCGTCCGCGTTGCTTCCGCCGGGCCCCGGGTTTTTTGTGCTTTTCATGCGTAAGGTTCGATAGGGACGCAAAGGCTTTTAATATGCACAGTCGCGATAAACAAATCGTAGTGAGGCACTATCTTTAAAATCGTTACATAATAAACGTGCACAAACACGATCTTGCTCAAAGCGTCGTCTCCAAAATGCCAACAATGGAAGCGTGTTTGGTCAAAGTGGCCTTTTCAGATGAGACCCATACTGCTTTGGAGAGTATCGCATAGTGATCCCAAATCTGCCTTCATTATTTGCCAAGCGCCCTCCGGACGCCGAGTTAAGAGCCAGGCATACTTCACGCGATTTCAATCGCTTCGCGATTTGGCAATATTCCAACTGTCCATAACTCACTGTAGGCACATTCTATATGTATATAAGATAGGGCATTTTGTCAATCTACGAAAGTTATACACAGTGTGCATGTGCAGTTTGCTAGTGTTGGATCTGAAGACTTCTGGCGAACTGCCAAATCGCGCCCGCCGCGACAGAAATCGCGTGAAGTATGCCCTGCCCTTTATGGGCGTTTTTCGGGTTAAAAATTGAACGCAAAACTGGAACAAAATCGCCAAAATTTGCACAAATGGTCCGTGTCTACTATCAGAGCAATTCATGCAGTGGATACATTTTGTTTGATATGCCAGTATCATCATTGCTTAATCTGAGTGCAGGGAAAATTTAAATGATTTTAGGTAAATTCTGACATTCATTTTTCGTTCCAAAAACGGTCATAACTCGGCGTTCAGAGGCGCATGGCAGATAATGAAGGCAGATTTGGAATCATTGTGCAATAGTCTTCAAAGCAATATAGGTTCCATCAGGCCACTTCGACTAAACACGCTTTTCTTGTAAGATCTGTGAAAAGGCGAAAGAAGGTCACTGGATTCAAGCGACAACACGAAAGGAAACGAAGAAATGGCAGAATATTCAAGCTAAAGTATCAGAAATGCTTTCTGGCGCGATCTTGTAATAGCATACAAAACCACCCTGCGATGCGAGGGCGACACCATACTTCACGAATGACAAGGACGCAGTAGGAAATCTATAACCGTAGGTCACTTCGATAACAGAACTCAAAAGTACCCCAGAGCTCTTTTTGGAGCACCTTTGTACTTTCGCAAGCATGAGATGATAGATGAGCTAACGAATTTGCTCACGGAAGAGCAAGAAAAGCAGGTCAGAATATTCAAACAAAACACACACTTTGATTGTGCCCACCGTGATTGTACTCTGGAAGCATGAAATTCAGTGCTGTTGGAGCCTGACCATGGCGAAGCGTTCGTCGGTCCTAAAACAGCTGTTATTGGTGAATTATGTAAAGATGGCAAGAGAGACACTTCCAACTACGATTTCAACACTGACTGGAAAGGTTGGAAACGCAATAATTTCTGGACACTCTTTGTGACGAACGTGCACCAACCGCTCACGAACTTGTAGAAGTTTATTTACTTATTGAATGCACTGCGAGGAAAAGCACGCGAAGTGACAAGGAGGTGCGCCATTTCAAGAAAGAATTACGAGAGTGCGGTCGAACTTCTACGCAAAAAATACGGTGACGACTCTCAATCGTCTGCTACTACAAACTCGACTTGAAAATGCGACAGTCGATCGAGAAACAATATCAGCACAGAGGAAGGTGAGACCATAATTCCCATAGTGACGCAATTAGAAAGACAGGGATTACATTTAAACGGTTCACATCTCGCACAAAAAGAAATTTCAGAATTCAATACGAAGCTCCAGATGAATTTGTAGAGGAACAGATGTCTCAAAAAATACGGGAGCGATATTGGAAACTTTACAATGTAAAGAACCTTGACTCACTACAAGCACGGAGTAGTCAATCGAGTGGCAAATTAGAACATGGGGTACAAGGGATACAAGGAAGAATAAGATCAGCAACGGCAAAGTGCAGGACAAAGCACATCTCTGCGACGTTACGGATCACGTACAGTCAGCTGCAGGGCTTACGATAGTATGTATAAAACGCGTAGACTCATGCAAGAAATGCTATGTCTGAACTGTGGAAAGCCTGGTCATGTATAAACTTGCAAGAGTGCAGAGGGTAAAACTTGTCCAGGACAAAAACATTATTATTAGGTTGTCCCAAAAGTCTTTTCATTTTTGAGTTTTCGCTGTAACAAGTGCTACATTTTTTATTCTAAATAGACATCATGGCCCGTAGTAATCCCCCCGGCATGTTGGCATAAGACATGACGGCGAGTTCGCGAACCTCACGACAAGATCGTGTTTTAGTCTTGAGCTGTAGTTTCTTGATTCTACAAGTTCACAAAGCAATTTATGGTCTACCGCAAAACCACTTCACCTTGCTGGGATGGAACTCTTCTTTGTTCAGCGAGAGTCAGCATACTAACCCGTTAGATTACACGTGTGCTTTACACATCATTCTAGGGAGCGTAATCAATCACACCAGTAATCTTGTATTAACATGTATCTATAACATGTATTATCTTGTATTAACATAGTGTATTAACATGTTCACTCTACGTACAAGTGGATACTGAGCTACATCTAGACAAAGCTAACGCTTCCAGCAAGTTTATCAGATCGCATATTGGAACATGCACAAAATCATACATTCTGTGCCGGCCGCAAGAGATAAGAAAATGACTGCTTTAGTAGACGATAAATGCATAATTGAAGGACTAGGCACATTTTTGCGTTTTTATGCATAAAAATCGCCTAAAAAATATCTGGTGCCTATGGCCTTCCCTAATAAAATGTATGCTACTATCTAGGTTTCTCTTAGCAGGCTAATTTCGAAGTCAATTTCACTATCTGTTGCGCAGTTTCCTGAAAAGTTGACAAATTCGTGCTTTGTAAAAGAAAATTAGCACTGCTTTGGAATTCTGTTTTCATCTCATCAAATTACTGGTTTTTTTTGCTCAAATGATCAGCACTATAGAGGCGGTGACAAATATAGGAGGTGGTTCTTTTACCCTCTCATTGCTCCCATTGCTCCGGCGGCTTGGATTCTCGAGCCGTCTGGCTCGCCTTTGGCCCCATCCATCCGTGTCATACAAAATTCCGCGAACGCGGCCCAAGGCAATCGAAACAGCTCGACGATCTAGCCGCCGAAGCAGTAACGATGTCAATTGAGCAGTCCCAATGGATACGTCCGCGAACACGCAATCTCGAAGATACATTTCGAACTATCAGAGCTCTTGTAAAGATGATACATTGAAAGGGAATAAGATTCAACACAAACAATACTTATGTACTTTCATTTCAATCCACTTCGATTTGAAAAATCAATTCTTTTCATCGTTTCAATCCAAAACTGCGCATAAAAAATGTGGTCAGTGTAGCGAAATGAATAGCACCTCACTTCTCTGCTGATTAACTTCCTCGCTGCCTCTTTTTTGCCTAAATCGAAAGCTCACCAACTCACTAATGTTGAGATAACGTTATAGAACAAACGTTATAGAACACAACAAATGACTCATCGTTCTGTGGATTTCTCGATATGTTTCTGCCTCTTTCTTTTTGCCCTCTTCTCCGTTCAAATCCTCCATTCACATCTCGATTTTCTGGAATATTTTTTATATTTATCAAGAACACAAGCGAGTTTTCAAAAAGCTTTCTTTGAAACCCCTTCATCGAACAGCGTGGACTGCTCATACGCTATTTCATTAGCTAGAGCCAATCAAGGACAAAGGCGAATGCGCATATGCACTTAGTGCATACAAACGCTTCGCGCGCGCTTCGCCTGCTATCGTTTGTATCTCAATCGCATTCGTGGAAGAATAGCCTATACATGTCAAAATCACTACAAAAACGAACTTGTGAGTCAAAAACTGTGCAAAGCTTAGTTTTCGAAGTCACCATTTGCTAATTTTCAAAGCTTTTGCTGCAAAAATGAGCGAAATAATTACAAATCATATTTTTCATGAAGTTGCCA